CCGTCTTGGGTACCGTCATCTTAGCTATGGTGGACCATGTCCGTGACTGACACTTTCAGGACCCATGGTGTACGCCCTCTTCTACCTGCCCATCGAGCTCCATCGCTCGCTCCTCGCCGAAACCCATGGCTTTGATGACTCCAAAGTCTTGAAGCCCGAAGTCCGGTCCGATCTTATGCGCATGCTCTGCACACCAGACTCGGATCTCTACGAAGCCGGTGGTTGGGCAACACGGCTACTATCAGCACAAGACATCTCAGCGCACATGCTCCAACCATCCGTATACAACCTCAACGCCCAGGCCATGGATGCAACGATCAGTCTTATTCAAGAGGTGCTGGACAAGGGCGTCAACGTCAAAGAGATATACATCGACACCATCGGCAAGCCAGAAGTTTACCAAAAGAAGCTCGAAAGGATATGGCCTACTATCAGCATCACAGTTGCAAAGAAAGCCGACAGTCTATACCCAGTCGTAAGTGCAGCATCAGTCTGCGCTAAAGTCACTCGCGATGCGGCACTCGATGTCTGCTACGAGCCGTATCACGCCCGCGACTCAGAAGCCGGAGATGGTGCAGAAGTCAGAGTTGCCTGGGGATCCGGATATCCGTCAGACACGAGGACATCAGCATGGCTCAAGGAGAACATGGATCCTCTCTTTGGCTGGGGTAACGAGACTCGCTTTTCCTGGGGCACAACCAAAGAGCTGCTTGAAGGGAAGAAGGCAGGGGTCACCATCGATTGGCCTACTGAAGACGATGGCAATGACATGCGCATGACCGATTTTTTTAACGGGAAAAACGAGACAACCGGCGATGAACTCGTCGATTGGTTCGGTAAGCGCGTGACGGAGGAGATGGAAGTGTTTTGACGGCTTTCGCCATACAAGGCACCCTTGCATAAACACCATCGCTACCGAAAGCGGTGAAGCACACGACACCCGTTGAACACAACCATCGAAACTTCTACACTCACGGGCGCATCCTGACTCATAGAGCAAGGCTCGATCCCTTGCTGAGTAGGCCAACCGGGCTTGTTCGTCGGTCCGTTGAGGCACTCGCATTGGCCCACAACAAGAAGGGCTCCCCGACATCGTACGCATTCTCTCTAGAACTAGGCAATTTTCGACGACAGTCCAAGCGCAACCCGCGAAATTTGCACTACATACAGTAAAGCAGCATTTGCTGACAAGGTGAACCCGTTGTGTCGCTTATGTCAACCGTCCTAGCGGTGCGAACAGAGTCAGATTACGCACGTGAGCACGCCCCTTTGTTGGGACTATTTCGGTGAACATACATATGCATGTGCTTTTCTGTCTATGCGTTCGCTTTTGCACATAGTCCGAGCGTGTGCGTGTGAATGTTGACATGGGCTTTACATATAGCGGCCGTTGGTCCGGATGCGAAGAAGCTGGTCACTAATCATACTCACTTCACGTTCATTGTAACCACGTCGCTATATACAAACAGGGCCTCGCCTCATTTCCATTCCATTTGTTCCACCTTGCACAGGCCTTTGTGACGCCGCGATCGGATCGTAACGCATCCATACCACTTTTGATACACTGCCGCCTCATCCGAAATATCAGACAACATAAGAATGACTAGCAGGGCTCTGGATACTCCATTGTATCATGCGCATATATGTCCAACGAAGCATCGGCACACTAAGACGTCTTCAGCAGAAGCTAGCAAATACACACAATACCACATGCAAGAACAACATCCTGGGCCGATGCACAACTGTACTATCTGCGAAAGCGGACGAAGAGGCGGCGTTGCCGCACGAGGAGCAGGCAGCCATTGCGCTTCAACCAATGAACGAGAAACCAAAGCCCCGCCACGTTTAAGTCTTGTTATTTGCGATTTAGAAGACGATGAAGACCGCGACTCAGATCCAGATCCCGTGTCGCCACCGCTTTCCCCCAAAACAATCACGGTCGTTCCAAAATTGCGCAGCAGGTACCGCGCAGCTACGATGAACCAAGACACCTCGACGAAGCGTAGATCCGGATGGAGACCAAGTCTCAAGAAGGAACTCTTACGCAGGACGTCTACCGATTCCGCCATGGGACAGATTGAACTGTGGACAGGTCACCCAACCGAATTTTGCACCGAGACAACAAGATGGGGTTCTATAATTGGCGACAATGTGAAGCCTTTGCAGCCACAACGGAGACGCGGATCAACGTTGCTACATCCATCGCCTCCAGTGATATCGGCAGAGAACCAGGCTGCGACAATGAACGTAGGGCCGATCTCGCCTCTATTCGGGAGAAAGGACCTCTTTCCTGCGCGCAAGGGCTCGTCGCTGCTTCATCCGTCGCCTCCTTTGAGCGATTCAGAGACAGGGGTGGAGAGAGGGATGCGGAATATGCAGTTAAAAACAGTCATGTCTGTTCCCCCAAGGAAGCAGTGGAAATGAGATATACCTTCATTTCTTATCGTCGGCGCCAACAGCAGCGCAATGATAGATACCCACTGGGTGAAGACAAGATATCTGGTTCATAAATCGGAAAGGGGAAAGGCAGATTGAGAAGTCGAATAACGGGATTGGGGTTGCATAGCGTGCATATAGACATTTCGGTTTGCGTTACGATGCGATGCGTTTATACCATGACTTTTATGCAAAGCGTCCTTGCTACGGTTTGTTATTATGTAGTTCCTATAGAGTCAGCTGTTCGCACAGCATGTTTTTTTTATAGACAAGTAAACTTCTACACCACAATACCATGATCGCCCTGCGTACGCTACTCTGTAACCGCTAAGGTGTCTTTCATGGAAAACTTCACACGACGACGCCCATCTTCGTCCTGCATGCGCTGTGAGGTAACTGTCAAGTTCTCTTTCGAGGCGAACTCAACATCAACTATGAACATCTGCTGTCCGAACAGCTTCTCCCGCTTTATCTTGACCTGGAGTAGGGCATGATACGAGGCGCCTCTGCGGTCGCGAAAGCGGCTCACTTCTGATCGTGCCGGTCGCTGAAAAGCGTTGGTGTTGAAGTCATCAAGATCGCGTTCGCTATCCGGCCACACTGCGTCGTCCAGATGGCACCAGTGTTTTACCTCACTATCGTTGATTTCCTGTCTGCAGCCCAAACTGAGAAAGGCGCTGTGCTTGGATGGCAGCGGTGGCGTCTCATCCATGGCGAGCTCGAGACTGGCGTTCCACCAGCGGCGGCCTTGCTCGCTGGGCTCGCCCTGCAAAATACGGTCTTTGCGATCCCAAGACTCCCTGGGGAAGGCGCGGGCAATTCTTAGACCGTGCGGCAGGCTGCGAATAAGGAAGCCGAAGCGTCGCCGCATGCTGTGCGACATTGATGTGATGAGGCTGTTTCTGATATAAACTTCGCTAAGCGGCGGGAACTGGGATAGCAGCCGCAAAGGTAGCAGACCGACGCTGGTCGTTGTGTCACGAAGGTAGAGATTGGCTGTCATTCGTCGCACAGGAATGACGACTACGCTATCGAAATTGTGTGAGACATGGCATCTCAGCACTGCTGCGTAGAGCGTAAACGGAGAGCGGATCATGACTGGGGAGCGGATTGGGCGTATGTCTTTTGAATACTCATGGATCTGCAGCCATATCCGCAATCCGCGGTTTGTCAATGTGTAGGGAATGACCGGATCATCAGAAACAAAAGGGACGAGGTCTCTTGCTTCGCTAAAGTCTCGTGGATCGCTAGCCAACGCATCACCAGATGTTGGATTGGCGGTAAGCTCGCTGCTTTCCCAAGCAAATAGCGTCTCGTCCTCTGATACCTTCATGATCTCTTCTTGGAGCCTGCGGAATGCTTTGACTTTGCCTTCACCATACAGCAGAGGCATGTTAACGTCGAAGATACCAAGCAGGCTATAGGCAATATCTTCTGGACGTGTTGCTTGTCGCGCGGCCGCCCAAGACATGCGCATACCGATGCTTGCTGAGCCCAGGCTGCTTGAACCAGTCAAGTAATCCTCTGCAATGCCGGTTGTAGAGGATATTATGTCCTTGAGTTCCAGTTTGCTCCCCAGGCTCTCCCATTTGGCAGAGAAAAACTCCATGCCTACAAACTCCTGGCCCGGTTCTGCGCCCCTTCGAACACTACTCGGTGCCAACAGCTCTTGAAGCGTCCATGCTCGAGTGAACCACTTGCTGTTTCTAACTTCCTCATTAAGCTTGTTGAGTATCACGACGTTTCCACCCGAATGGGGACGAGTGATCCTTATTGATGGCATTCCCAGTTGATGCTCTTCCGGCTCTTCCTGCTCTTGATCCTCTCCCTTGCCCACATCAGCGAGATATGCATAGCACTTGGCAGACTGCTTGTACCAGGTGAACATGGAGTTGATAGCCTCACTTAATTCTGCGCTGCCTTTGGTGCGGGGCCAAACATGTCAGCGTGGCTTTTATAGCAACAGAAGTTCCCAGTGCTACGACGTACTAGTTTTGTCAATGCAACAAGTGTCAATCCAGCACCAGTCGAAGCCATCGCATATCGCTTGCTCACACGTTTTGTTGATTTTGTCGAATCCCTTCTTCTTCTTCTTTGCGCGTGTCATGTCCTGGAAGTCTGCGAGAAGAACTTCCTCCTCCTCCCAGGTATGCGACAAGATGGCATAGCTAGGAATGTCGTCTAGAAACTCTTGCAGCTTCAAAGTGTGTGCATTCAGTAGTCTCATGGTATAGCTCGAGCTGTGGCCGTACTAGAACAAGGTTGAATTGTAGGGATAAGGTGAGTGCTACCTTAGTGCCAGTTAGACAGCGCCAAGCAGAGAGGCTGTGTAGTCAACATCTACCAGTCAGCAGCGTTCATGACTGCGAATTTGTCTCCCTAATCGAATGGATGTGTATGTACTCGTGATATGTCAGCCGCGTTCGAGTTTGATGTTCTCTTGCGGCTTTACCCAAAAATAACAGCATCTACCCCGCTGGCCTTCACTCCCGCCCAACCAACACTACAGCCAACACCACGACCACAATATATACACACCCAGCACCTCGCTGTCGCAAAAAGAATGCATCGGCCGGGAATCGAACCCGGGGCTAGCCGAAACTGCTCAAACTGCTCTTTGAATGGAACAGATGAATGGCAACGGCTAATTTTACCACTAAACCACCGATGCTAAAGGTGGGAAAGCAACTGAGTGAACTCTGTGACCTAACCAGGGGTCGAACCTGGAATCTCTTGATTTCGGATGTGAATCGTAGTCAAGCGCCTTGCCATTGGGCCATTAGGCCAGTGGTTGCTTAGTAATTTGATGGAAGATGATTGTTTTAGATTGTATATGACCATATGAAAAAAAGACAACGAAGGGCTTGCCAGCTGGAAGAAATCTTGAGAATTGAATTGCTAGTGAGGATTTCTTGTGGTGGGGCATAGCTTGGAAACCAAAATTGCTGTTCCACTAGAGTACGACCGGGGATGAACCTTGTGCCGAGATTCTCCGGAGTCTGGCATCTCACTGGACGAATACGCGACAGAGGATTCTTGACACTGATGTTTTTCTTATCAGAGTCTTTTATCTGGGGAATGTTGTGCCTATGGTGAATATCTGTTGCCACAAATTTTCTCAAAATAGCGGATGCAACTGCTGATGATCGCTTTTTAGGCGAGGGTCATGCACCAGGCCATTCGCTGATAGATTCAAAGCAAGTCTCGTAATAGGTGTGCAGATGAGGAAGGCTGGTTGGGCCAGGAAGGTCTGAGTCGATGATGCCAACGGTGCTGGTGAGGTATAGAGAAAGACCTGGAGAGGCTCTGCTCTTCTTGAAGGAGCGGGTGTACTAGTCATGATTGACCATCTGAGTATTTGCATTGAAAAAGCGCGCTTCAATGTCAAGGCTAACCGTCCTGCTGAGCACCAGCAGGATACTCGGATACAAGCTGTAAAACTAGCAACGTGTACGGATAAGGTGGCATTCATCTTTGGACCAGCGATTCGGGTTGTCGCGCGGTTTGAGCTCCAGTGTCCGAGAGAGTGACGGAATGCGAGCTGACGCTTGAAGGAGCGTTTCTCCGTGAATTGAAAAATGGGGCCTATTCGACTGACAATCGTCTGGAGCTGCGCCTTGCTGTAGATCTTTCGCCAAGTAAGAGTGTACCCTGTTGCGCTCCTACTAGCCCAGATCGATATTATCGGCCTTAGTTACGATCAGAATTCCACGAAGTGACCGAGAAGATTTTGTTTATCATCTTGCTGGATAGTTGACGACTCTTGGGGCTACGTCTGTCAGCTCAACGATGCGAACACCTAGCCCCAAGACCTGTAAGAGCGTATCAAGCCACCAAGAACGTCATCAGCTCCCTGTAGTCACTTTCCTTCATGGCGTCCGTGCAAGGCGGCAATCTCCGTGATCGATACGATCGAGTTCCTGGACTTGGCCAAATAGAAGCACTTGTATGGTGCCCGAGACATTTTCCTTTCCACGAGTCCATGATTGTCAATAAATGATTGAACCAGGTCGGTCGACTCTCTGAACCAGACACGCGATACGTTTTCACGGCTTTGACTCCTAGACCGGGTCACTGTGGCATATTTAGCATACTTTGCATGATGCAGCTTGTATATGCAGCGACCCGTACCATTCGTCATCGCGGTAATCTTCGGTACCGCAATCCTGAAGTACAAGTAGCGCGTATCATCCTGCAATCAGCGCTATGGGGGCTGGAAACCTAAGCAAGACGAGCCAGGAAGGGTTTAGGTGTGCAGATATGCATACATGCACGCCACGGCAGAGCAACCCGCGGTGATGGCACAATCTCGGCAGTTAGTATGTTACTTTCAAGCACGCACTTGGCGTCCAACAACCCTATGTTACGAAGGAGCACGTTAAAAAGAAATGATAGTGCTAGCCTTGAAATTGTCCTGACTGACTCGATGGCTTCCGTGTTTGTGGGACGATCTAGAGCAGCTGAAGCGTGCCGCTCGGCTCGTGTACTCGATATCCGCATGGCTTGTATTGTGTGACAGTGGTGTTTCTCCACAGTCCCACAGATGCAGTCATCTCCACACAGTTAGCCGTGGCAATCGCGCCCTATTACTCAGGGGATTTGATGACTGGACTCGGCTCGGGGATGCTGTTAAACGTGGCCTAAGCAGGAGGGATTGATCGCAAAAGATTCCGAGACTACCAGAGATTCCCAAATCTTACTATTCTCCGAGAGCTCAAATACGATAGAATTGTTGAAGTGCGATGGTCCAGGAGCGGATGTGCGGGTGTTGTTGACCAGACCTAAGTAGCGTGCCAAGACTCACCCAAGAGGAACTACGAGGACTCCCCCGCTGCCATCGTCTTGCCAGCCTCTCCCATTAACGGAAAAGCGTATACTGTGCTACGTGTAAACTGATTTCCCCGCGATAGATAACAAGGGTGATCTGATGATTTCTCTAACGGGATAGTACAGGCACGCAATCCTACGCGTTACTTTTTCCAGGAGCATGTTTCATCACAACGCCATTTTACGATCACCAGTACTATCATACCTAGTTCAGCTTGGATGATTTGCGTGATGATGTGTCTAAACCCGAGAAGCATCTCGAGTCCATCTGAAAAGTAGCGGAGAGCTCACCCATCCCTTGTGCAACTCGTTTGTGGTCATGGTGTTGGGACCCCGTGATACCTACCTGTTCGTCAGCCCGCTGATCTAGTTAAAGAAAAGCAAAACCTCGCTCGCCCGGCTCTTCCAAGGGGCGAAGTGAGCCGCTTATGACGCTCCACTCAATCTGTTGTTTTTTGTTTGTTCGGTGGAAGCTGTACCACCTAAGCTGTCTGGTGGAAGCCCACAAGCCACCATTCGTATCGACATACTACTACTAGGATCGGGTGGCGCGGTGTGGCAGATTTGGTATCGCTCTCATAATCTGGATCCCAACTTCCACTCAGTGACAGCGGGTCAGCTGATTTGTCTCTTCAACCAAAAATCCTGTCGCTGCAGCGGTGAAGGAATTAAAAAAAGCTGGTCTGTGATAATTAGGTCCAAAAAGCAGACCGTTTGCTTTGGTTTAGAAAGCGCTACCCATGGACATGCCGCTAGGTGGACATCGAAGGTGGGCCATGCGGAAAAGCACGCAACTACAAAAAGCAACCTCGGACATGGAACACCACCCAATCCCATGCCGAAATGCAGCACCATCAGGACAATGTCCATGTGGCTGTATGAGACGCTAACGACCCTGTAGACAAGGCACAAACCTTACAGGCCAGAGGTTAACACACGGCTCCCCCACTCGTGTATCTCGCATGCAGACGCCGAGCGAGTATATGGTACGCACAGTGCATATTCTGCTCCAGGGTTTGTCCTAGCAGCCTCGGCGAGGAGCTGTGAACCATGCGTCTGCGGTACAACTGGGGGTCTCAAACGCCATATTGCTAGACGTCTTGCACGATAACCTCTCCTCGACACCCTGGTCCCTCCGTCTCGACTTCACGCACCCACGCTCCTTTCTTCTCTCCAAACATTCGTTTCGCGATTCCGCCTCTTCCACGACCTCTTCTGTGAAGTTGGGTGACCTCGAGGAAACATCAGTACACCACTAGCTTCTCATCACACCATGGGTGGGGATGCAAGAGCAGTCTCATCTTCAGCACTGCCTCATGCTTCGCTCGCCCAAGACCAAGGACCACTTCACCTTGCCATCATCGTCACCCTCATCTTGATCGCGCTTGTGATATACTCGCTAAGGGTGTTTACGCGTGTAAGGCTGCTTCGCTCGTTTGGCCTTGACGATGTATTCATGTTTCTAGCTGCGGTATGTTCACTGAGTCAGTTACACAAACAACACATAACTGACATTTTTGGCAGCTATGCGCGGTCGGCATTTTTATCGTGTTCACTGGATCTGTGGAGCTAGGACTAGGACAAAAGTATGAAGACGTCGCGTCCTCAGCGAGCAACAGCAAGGAAATAGGACCATGGGTTTTAGCATTAAAATCCATTACTATCTTCGGGCTCGGGCTCTTGAAGCTATCGGCTGCTTTTACTCTTCTACCCGAGTCTAACTCAAAGTTGCATGCATATGTGTACATTTGTCGTGGAATCCTGATCATGGGAACTACCTGTAAGTCTTACACAATAGCAAACAGACTCGGCAAGACAAGAGCTGACGTGAACAGTCGTCGTCGTGTGCCAAACGCTTGAATGGTGCGCATCGCTTCTTGTTCAATGCGCACCTCTTTCCGCAGTTTGGGATCTTTCATATAGCGAGAATGTGACATGCATGTCGCAAACGGAATCCCAGCACTGGGCTATGGCGAATCATGGTGAGTTGTACTTGGCTAGCCTAGTCAAAATCATACTGACGCTGTGTAATAGTGACCAGTGCATGTACTAGTTTCGTACTGGTCTTTTGCGCAATCCCTACCGTTCTCGACCCGTCATTCAAAGCTGGCGCCAGGTTGTATCTCACAGCAGTGACTGCAGTAGGGCTTTTGTACGTTCAAGCTCTCTAAAAGCGCCTAAATTTTAGTTAATTGCCTTACAGTTCATGTGTCGCCGCCGTAGTCCGAGTCGGAATGGTCATGACTTCCTGGGCTGAGATTGGGGATCGAGGTAGATACGACTTGGTGTTCATGACCTGGGGCGCCGTCGAACTCATGACAGCCATCATAGCTGTAAACCTTGGAACGTTGATACCCCTTGGTGGAGTCTCGAAGACACCCAAGGCGGCGACCCAGACCTCACGCCCAGTTCCCAAAATCTCTAGTCCCGTAGCGGGGAGTGCAGTCCACGTCTCACATGGTGATGTTGACTCAATCTTCAGCGCTGGCCGTGACGGGGGCTCCAAACCAAAATCGCAATATCGTGACTCTGTCCAAACAATCACGTATCGCCCAAATACTGCCTACTTTCCTTCAGGTTACAACAACACCGGTATTACGCGCTTTCACGACGACGAGTCCAACCTCGATTTCGACATTGAAGCCCCATCTACCCGGTCGCCACGTAAACTGAGAAAGCCATGCCCGACTTCGCGTTTCTCTGGTTCGACGACTTATACCATCGACACACGCCGGACAAGCGACTGGTCACAGTTCAGCGGTTTCACATACTATTCACAGAGTTCGCCTGAATTTGGCAACACACAGGAGAACACAGACTTGACACGAGTCGGCGCAACTGAGT